TCTGTGGTTTAGGGTGAACGCAAAATTTGGTGAACGCGCACCGGGTGAGAATAGCCACAAGACTCGCCTGCACTATTCTCAGAGGTGGCCTTAATTATTAAAGAGAATAGGAAGAACGACATAGACAACCACATTCCTTCTGAGCAAACAAAGGAACAAACAGCTTACTAACTTTGTAAAGGCTCCCTAAGGGAAGCAGGACACGTCTACAGAGGGTGAAGAATGTATAAAGTTGTTTTGGTAGATCTCTTGGTCTACCGTGTTATTGTTATTGTACAACAAAAAATCGAAGAGAGTTACTTCCCTGGTTGACGTCGTCGTTTTTATGATTCGTTTTTTAAAAAATCAGAAAAAATCAGATAAAATATAATAGTTTCGACCTTTATATTCCTCTTCATCCGCACCTATCATGGATGAATTCCGTTCCCAGTGTACCAGAATTTAATTCTTCTGTCTTTTTCCAAGCACTGATACATACTACATTACTGCCCTTTGTTTCTCAACTGGGATGGTTCTAACAGCTGGATAGATCTACATGAAATATTGTGAGTTACTTTCTGACATGAAGATTTTCCCGAGTTTGCAATAATACGCGCAAACTACTGTGTAAAGCACATAAATCAATTGTAGGGTGAAATCTATACGTCATGACATTACTTGATAGTGGCCTACGTGATGACTGAAAAACTCCGTAAGAGACGTCAGTGGGTAGTTGGCAGTCATAGGGTAAGGATGTAGAAAAGTGAGTAGGGGAGCTCTGAAAGGAAGAATAGCGGACCACTAGGCCAGGCGCCATAAAGTAGTTCCGCCCAGCAGTTACTGGTGGTCCGGTAAAGTACAATCTTACCTTCTTGACATTTCGTTCTTGCATAAACATAGATTTAGATCTAGTGTAGCTTGGGGTTTTTTGGTGGGGGTTTTTTTTCACTGTTATGTGAAATGGCCTTCACCCAGCCCATTAAATAAACTAAAGCTGAAACTTATCTCTACAACTTATAAGTTACTCTCTGTGCTGTTCTGAGTGAGTCTGTGCTAGATCTATAGACCATAGGCCTACTACTTTACTCTTTCCGGACTTATCGCCGATATATCAGATGGGGTGCCTCAGTTTTGTTTCCTTTTAACATGATCCATTATTTATAAGTACTTTTTATTGTTGTTGAAAACTTGGAAAGGGTTTAGGAAACGGAAACATCTAGATCTAATCTACTTTTACTTTGTCAAAGCGTCAGTCAGTTGAAAAACGAGTAAATTAGTTCTTGCGGTCTTGCATCAACAAAACGATCTATCTAACCGGACTCAGTATAAATATCATTTACATAACTCAAACAGAAATTGGAATATTGCATTCAAATAAAAAGCTGCACATTCAAAAATGTTTGGAGTCTGCTCTTGGCCCGTATTGTTATTGTATGACAAGATAGCTATGCTGATTCACTAAGACTTTCACAAGTTTAGTGTGTCTAATTTTTTCCCTCAAAATGTATTTTTCTCACCACCATCGCCATTTCTAACCCTTGTAATGCATACTTATGTTCATAATTAATCCTTGTTTCATGTTGGAATGTAATCCTTATTCAATTTCCTTCAATTTGACAATTTGATATATCACATGTTACGTAGTGATGGTATACTAATATGAAGTTATTTTGTACATCACCTGTGTAGCCGAATCTAGTAGGTACCAGAAACTAAATTTTCCAACTAGCTGTATGCCAAATGTATCTGTTCCATTTGAAAGGCCTATATCCACTGAGCATTTTGGTACCATTCTTTAACATCTCCGTCAATTTTAAAGAAAATTGTAGTTGTTTAAAATTTAATCAAATTTGTTAAAGTCAGTCACTGGCTGCAATCCCATGTTTGACAGACAATAAAAAAAGTACCAAGTGCACTAAACATCTCCACATTAACAGAGTACAATCACTATAACAAATATATGGAGCGTAATTTTTTTCAAGACTGTGAGATCTTTACAAATCAGTATTTTATCGCCTCAAACACGATGATCTGTCTTTATTTCGACAAAAACACCGAGCGTTGACCCGGCCGGCGCTGCATCGGCCCCCGCGGCGAGCGAGTCGGCTTATACTGTAGTGTACCCCGCGTGCGGGGTCACATGCTTTCAGAGTCTCGCGGAAGGATTGATGAAAAATAATTCCAAGTTAATTACTTTATTCTAATAGGAAATAAACTGACCTTTCAATTGATATGTTTTATAAGCCGGTATTTTACATATTTTGTGTAAAAAGTGATCTTTAAACATTTTGACGGTATTTTTGAAAGCTTTCTATAAAGACACCAAAGGCTAAACTTATATCACGGGAAAGCCCGTTTAAAGCTCTACAGTTCTCCGCCAATGAAAAGACGATATTTAATCATCCCTCGTTCCGCGAAGCATTTGAATGCACGCGTGTCAATTTTTCAACCGGCCGGCCTCGCATTCCGACCACGAGGGGCTTCGCTTTCGTCGGCGATTCTCCAGCTCCTAATAATCGGACATATAAACAACTTACACCATTGCAACGAGGAAAAGCTGAACTTTTACAAGGTGTACGGCATTTGGTGTTTTATAGCGAAAGTGCAAAGAAACAGCGTTCAGAATTAACCCGATTTTACCGATACCACGCGGTCGGAAGGCCGCGAGTGCCCGCGAGGCCGTGTTTACGCTACCTAAATCTAGTCACAAGTGAATTACCTCTACACCCCAAAACAACTACGTTCTGAAAGAGAAAACTGCTGATCGTAGCACACCTGAGGGGGTTGAGAATAACGAGACACAAATAGACAAAAATTGTAGATCTAAAAATCTAGATCTAGACTACATCTAGATCTAGATTAGATTCTAGATTCTAGATCTAGATCTAGTCTGAGTCTATTCCTTTTTCATTTAACTTTAACGAACAGCTTTGACAGTAACAGTTTAATTATTGAAAGTGGCTATTCTCACCCGCCCGGAAGTTCTCGCAAGATCAACTCCTCCCCTCTTCTCTCTCTCTCTGTCTCTTTCTGAA